GACTACAGGCATGAGCCACCACCACTCCTGTGGACCAGTCTTAACGTCACCTGGAAAGATTACCCATTCTATACTGAGGAGAAATTGTTGGATACAGAATCCAATTTCAATGGGAATGCCATGAGACCATGAAAAAGATGGCCCAGAATGAAGCTGAGCTTTCACTACTGTGCCACATCTGTATTCACATCAGGAAAAGACTGGGAACGCAACATGGCTCAGCAGATAAAAGCACCTGTCATCAAGCTAGACAACGTGAGTTCAATCTCTAGAACCACCCCCTTCTGTTGTACTCTAGCTTCTGCCTACACCGTGTAGGCAAACAGGCATGCATGCCTGCGCGCACATGCAATCATTCACCCCACGCCATGCATGTGTCCAAGTACATGCACAAATAAATAAAAAAATTTAAGAGGGGCTAGAGAAATCATTCAGCAATTACAGCACTAGCTGTTCTTCTAGAGAATCCAAATTCAATTCCCAGCACACTTATGGTAGCTCACAACTGTAACACCAGCCTCAGGGAATTCAACACTCTTTTGGTCTCTACCAGCAATATACACATGGCTAAACAAAACTTGCCAATTAAAAGGTATTTAGAATTCATAACTATAATGATACACACTTACACATACATGTTAATAAGTTAGGATCAAAGGGGTACTCCAGAACTGGGGTGGGGGTAGATGGAGAAATGGGGTACCTTTTTGTTTATGGATCTAGGTCAAGCAGACAACTAAGGGAAATTAATTTAAACTCATTCACTAAAATCAATTAGTTACAAGTGAACTGTAGACATAAATATAAAATAATAAATTGGTAGAAAAGAACCAAGAAACACTTCTAAAACCTTAAGACTTAAGGTTATATAATTAAATAAAAAAAAGAAAAGAAACAAATATTTGCGGTGGTTTGAATGAGAATGTCCCCACAGGCTGACAGGATCTGTAGCCTTGTTTGAGGTGTGTCACTGGGACGGGCTCTGAGGTTTCAAAAACCACAGCTATTCCTATTAGTGGGCTCTGTGTGTGTGTGTCTGTCTGTCTTGTGCTTGTTGATAAAGATGTGCACTCTCAGCTACTGCTCTAGCACCATGATTGCCTGCTGCCAGGTTCCTCACCGTGCTAGTTATAACCCTCTGAGACCGTAAAGCCCCATAAACCATCTCTTCTATACACTGCCTTGGTCATGGCGTCACATCCAAGCAAATATGAAAATAAGACAACATTTAAAATAAAAATACCAACAAACTGGACTATATTATACCACACTTATTAAAAAGAACATTGAGAAAATAAAAGCACAACATAAACAGAAAACATTTCTAAGATCTATATTGGTCAAAGATAGTGTATCTAGAATAAAGAACTTCTAATCAGCTGAGAAACAGAAAAAAAAGGTTCAGTATACAAAAAAATATTCTGAAGAGTTCAACTAATAGCTCAGTAGACACTGGGAAAGTATAAATTAAAACTAGCACAAATTAAAATTCAAGACTGTGCAAATAGGGGCTAACAGGGGAGATGGCTCAATCAGTAAAGTGCTTGTCTTTCAGGCTAGAGACTTGAGTTCAATACGCACAGTCCACATAAGAAAAGCAGGACTTGGTGAAACACCCTTGTAATTTCAGGGATGGGAAGGTGGAGACGGAAAATCCCTGGACTTCCTAACCAATCAGCCTAGGCTATTTGGCAAGTCCTAGTCCAGTCAGAGAATTTGTCTTAGAAAAAAGAAAGAAAAAAGATAGGAAGAGAAAGACAGAAAGAGAGAGACAGAGAAGAAGGGAGGGAGGGGAGGGGAAAGGGGAGGGAGGGAACATCAAAGGATAGCATCCTCTGGCCTCCAAAGCACAGCTCTGCAACCTCACAGAGAACTGGTGATTATGTGGAACAAACTGAATTTCCATACATTGCTGATGGGAGTTTAAAATCAATAAACTTTAAAATTAAATATAAACACAATTCTTGCAGTATAACCAACCAAAATGCATGCAACTGGGCACAAGAACCATAATAACAACAAAAAAGTAACAGTAGTATTCCTAGTGGCCCATTAACTGGAACTATCTCAGATAGCCACCAAAACAATAGAAAAGTGATGAATTAAAAACGGCCAAGTGTGTATGCAATTAAAATGAACTAATTCTAGTATATATGATGATACAGATAAATTTAACAATATCATGAACGATGACACACAGAGGAATACATGGTTCATGATCTTACTTTTTAAAACTAAAACACACGATAAACAAAATTAAGGAATAAAATTAAAGAGAGTGGTTATCTTTCACTATTTTTGAGGAAGAGGAGGGATTAAGTTTTTTGAGGTCCTAGCCATTCCCATTTCTTGACCTGAATTGTATTACAAGAATTTTTCACTTTGCAATGATGTACTTGGCTTATTTGTTTTCTTTTGTGTATGTTATGAATGCACATAAATATGCAAATGTGCTAACCATTTGCTTTTATAAATTTTAGAGACATTGGTGGTATCATGTAATACTAAGGTTTATTAATATATCACTTTCTTTTAGTAAAATTCAAATCTACTAAAGAAATCCTCTTGTACATAAGATGTAAACTAAAGGATTTTTGAAAAAAATAAAGATTTATTGTATCTTGTTTGAGGCCAGATCTTCTCAGAACAAAACAAACAAAAACAAATGGAAGCCGTGAGAAGTAAATCAGATTGACAGAAGCCAATGTGGAAGAGCACAGAGACAGATGGGAGGTTGGACAGCATCATCTGCATCTCAGCAGGTGCTGAGGCTAGAAGGACAAGCCACACCTTTACCTAGCACACAGGCTGTCATCGCTTCACACCAACCTTACAGTTAATTCCATGCTCCTTTTCCTGAATACACAAATTTCGAGAATGCTTTGCTGTTTGTTTGAGAATTTCTGCTTCCACTCACCTGTCTTTTAATAAACTACTATTCAGTTTTCAATTCAAAATAAATTCTCTTACTTAGGGTTGCTAGTATTTGGAACTCAATTTTTATCTAAGAATTATGGTGCTTTTTTTTTTTTCCCTAAAAGTCATCTTCTAAAATTCAGATATCCCACCACCAAGCAAAACTCACTCAAGCAATTCCTGTCTCACATCAGATTGTGGCCATACTTATAGATCTTTATAGAATGAGGCTTTTCCCACTTCAAACCTACGAAATGACGCTATTATTGTAGTGTCGTGGTGTGTGTGTGTGTGTGTGTGTGTGTAGAGGAGAGGGGAGGGAATAAGAGGGAGAAAGAGAGAGAGAGAGAAAAAAAGGGAGAGAGCGAGAGACCATTTAACATATACTAGTTACCATGTCAAGGGCTTCATCTGTAACGTTTCAATTAAGTCCCACAACTCTGCACAGTGAGGGTGTTCTTATTCACGAGTGAAAATCAATGGAAACCAAACCAAAGGCACAAACCGGAGGTCAAGGATTTTGCCCAGGATCAAACTTAGGAAGTATGAGACCGAGGTAATATACTTACAGACACAAATATAGAGATTATGTTCTTAACCTCTGGTCTATGATGCTCCCGTTAGTTTTTCAAATCTCTCAGTCTTCAATCTTAACCTCCATCCTCCTTAGGCCACTTCTTACCTATGATGACCGCAGCTAACTGAACTGTACTCCTCTATAAACCTCTCTATCCTGTTCAAGGCAACCTTGCTGCCTTCAAACACAGCAGACTTCCAGTCCCTTCAACGCGGCAAATACTTGGGATACCTAAGCCGTCCTGCTCAGGAAACACACATTGATGTCAACTCTGTCCAAACGGCATGCCCTCTGGCCATGGTTTAATAACGGCGTAATGGTCAATGTTTGTTCAGCGCCAGGTGTCAGACGCTATTCTCCCTTACATCCCAATATTTACCCAATAATTCCATCAACTCTCCTTGGTAACTGATGCAAACGAGCCAGCAGCTGCTGCCGCGTCCATGTGTTTATGGGATTTATGTTATCTCCCTCTGCCAATTACGCGCTGGGAGAACAAGAATATCTTCACCCCGACATCAGCTATATTTGTTTAGCCCTTGGCACGTAATAAAACAGCAGCTCAACACACATCTTTTAAACTAACGACCAGAGCAATGCCTGCAGGTCCTTTACTGCAGACTTGGAAACTCTTCCTGGCCATCAGCGCCGTGTTTCTTCGAGCACAAGAGAAGCAGCACAAACCTATTTCGGATCTAGCCGACTACTATGCACGCTTAAGGAATGGACGCGTATTTACCAGCTGTTCTGCTTCGCAAAGTACATACATAATCTCAGGTGCATCACCGAGCATTTTGTGAAGCGGACCTCTTTGCCGTTTTCACATATTTCCACGCTGGGATCCAACCACAACCAAAACATATTAGTAGGTCAACGACAGCGACATTGCACCATACAGATGAATTTGCCATCAGGGAATAGGGCGCTTACTTTGGTCTCTCAGTAAGTCGAATTCTGTGGCCATTTCGAGATTTTACTTTGGAGTTTTCATCACCTTTATCGATTCCTCGCGGGGGTGGGGAGGAGAGTAAGATTTTTTTTCTAAACAAACAAACATAAAAACAGCCCCCCCGCTGTGAGGGCAAAGGAAAAGCTAAGGGGTCGCCGGGGCAGCCGAGCCCTGGCGCGGAGGCATCAGCATCCCACTCACGCGGCGGCGCAGCCCGGCCCGCAGCTCCGCCGAAGGCAGGCGACGCGCGTCAGAGTCCGCTCGCTCGGCTGGACCCGGGCGGGGGAAGGGGCGGCGGGGCGGCCGGAGGGCGACGTGGGCACCGCCGGGCTCGGCCGCCGCGTCCCCGCGGGGCTGAGGGGCGACGCCAGGACAGCGGGAAAGCCCGAGCCGCCGCCGAGTCCGCTCGGCCCGCCCTGCGACTTTGAAAGCGGTGCCCCGGACCGTTCCTTGGAGACGGTGACGCCGCGTCCGTCATCACGCGAGCGTCGTAGCCTACGTCATCGCGCTGCCTGAGGTTCCGGCAGGCGATTGGCTATCTGTCAGGCGCGGGGCGGATCCCTGAGCGCGCTAGGAGCTGAGTCCCTCGCTTGGCGCCTTCCGCAGTGCCGTGGCGGGTGCCTGAGGTAGTGTGGCGCAATTTAATTTTATTTTTCTTTCTTCCTTTCTTTTTGTAGGAAAACCGAAAACAGTGACAGGAGCAGGCACTAGATAGATATTTTTGTTGCTCTCCGAGTCTTGGTTTCTCAGACACTAAGCGTCCGTAGGGCGTGTGCAGGAAGGAGGGCTGTGGGTCCTGGGGCTGAGGTGTCCCCTCAAGTCGGCTTCGAGCTTATCCTTCTAGGTCTGGGAGTAGTGAGAGCTGTCATCGGATATTTAACCCTATCACGTAATTCAGGATTCAGGGAAGCCTGCAAATCCTGTAGGTACTTCAAATCTAAGGAAGGATAACATTTTGCAAAAGAGTAAAAAAAGCAAAATTTGTATTGGTTGGATAGATTCCCATTCCCAGTTTTCATAAGTGATTCTGTGTGTTTGAGCCCTAGAGCTTAAAACACACACACACACACACACACACACACTGGAGAAAGTGATGGCAAAATAAGTTTACTTGTAGCTTATCACTGGCTTTATAGAACCTTTTTAATTGATTATATTGTTTATGCATTGAAATAAAGTTTCATTACATATGTCCTGGTCCTGAGATGGCTCGGCTTGATTAAGAAGTGCTTGCCTGATTTAGGATTCCCGGCACCCATATAAAAAGCTAGGCAGGGCCCTGTATGCCTTTAATACCAGTACTAGGGAGGTGCAGACAGAAGGTTGGGGGAAAAGGGGTGCTCTCTGGCCAGCAGCCTAGACAAATCGAAATATTCCAGGGTAGCGAGATACTCAAAAAGTAAGGTCAGGTATGTTAATAAGATTTTTCTGTGAGAAAATACCTGGTGGAAATAAAGTTTTTTTTTTTTTTTTTAGAATGACATCCCCACCTCAATCTCAGTCTATACACAGGTGCAAACACACTCTCCCACAGGGACACACAAAAAACAAAAGTATGTTCTGGGTGAAGTTGTGTAGGGCTTTCAGTTGGATGACTTAAGAAGTAATCATAAAATACCATAAACAGTGTTTGCCTCGTTCCTCTGAAGAGACTAGCTGTAAAATGTGTGTATGTCTGTAGCAGTCATACAAGGGTTTAACTTAACTTCGAAGAAGTGAAGATTGGACCTGGTCTTGTTTTCAGTGGTCATAAACTTAACATAGTAACTTACACTGATTGTGCAGGCTCCACCTCTTCAGTGTAGAGTACTTTCTGATGGAACTTCTCACTGCCTCTCCTCAAAGAGGAGTTGAAATAAATAGATTGCTGTGTTACATATTTTATTACAATCTCAGTGGTTTACAGTTCAACTTCAAATGTGTTTATTGTTCGTAATGCTGAGCTATCCTTCCCTCTCAAAATAATAGAAGTAAACTCCCAGACATCAACGGTATGATGAAAAGCCTTCGAATGTGCGATTGTATGACCTCGAAACATTTTCCCTGACAACGCGGGTTTGTCAGTTCCAGAACTCCAAGTCTCTTCCCCTAGAACGTGTGCTGGGTGGAGCCTAAGAGGGGGTCCTCCTCTACAACCTAGGCCAGAGACCACAGCTGAGCTAGAAGGAAGAGACTCCACGCCTGTGCTCTTGGTAAGTCCTCTCATCTTCTCTTTAAAGTCTGTCAGACGCTGGTACTGAAGACAGTTTTCTTCCCCCGCCTCCAGCTGGCATGCTTCCTCTGACTTCACTTACTTCTCCATTTCTTTTAGAAGTGTGTGCTGCAGTGCAGCATGCAAACCAAAAAAGAAGTATGTGCTGTAGGAAAGGGATTTTATTTTTGTAAATAAAGGAACTTGGAATTTTTCTTGGAGATTGTTTTATAGAAAAACATTCTTTAAAACCTTTCTTTTAAAGTTTTAAGGTGGTTTTTTTTTGTCTTCTAAATGAATGTACCACTCTTCATTTTCATGTATAGAAGTTAAAACAATTGAATTTTAAAGTGTCAATTGAAGAAGATGAACTAAAAGTGAAAACTACAGGTTAACAACATTGTTTTAAGAAAGCCAAAGCAGCTGATAGACTGGAGTGGATGGTGATCACCTAGTGAGACTGGAGTGGATGGTGAATGTCTAGTAAGATTAATTCTGACTCTGTAAATGTTTCATCATAGTGCTAGTTAAGCATTAAGAGATTTATCCTTAAAGTGGACTCTAACATATTCTTAAATTATTCATTTATAATTTCTTACTGTCATGAACTCAAAAGGAGGCAGCAGCTCAAACACGCAGACCCACACTCCCTGTCTTTACACTGCAGTGTAGTAAACTTCAGACTGTTAGAGCGGCCATTCCAAAGCCATGGACCTTCATTCGAGGTTTTACTCCTTCACTGTCTATTACATTTTTATGCATTTCTCTACCACACACACACACACACACACACCCCTATGACAGCTTAGGCTAGAAAAATAAGGAGCGTTTATATTCTTGGATGACTCATGTGTCCTTTTGCCGGCATCTGTCTTATCTCTTCCCTTAGTATTATTCTTTGTCTCCTTTCTGAATGTTACATAGGAGCCACACTTACAGCTGTTTCCATATATACATGTATACATTAAAGGCCGTTCACATATTTACACATATACATTATATATGACACATGCCTATAATTAATATGTTTGTACGGATACATGCATATTTCATAATATTTCTTTATTCTTTAAGAATGTTATATACACATATAATGAATTTGGTCATACTCCTCCCCCTAACTCTTCCTAGAGCCGCTCCTGCCTCTTGGGCCCCTTCTAACTTGATGTCCTTCTTTTTTCCCCCAAATAATCACTGCATCTGGTTTGTGGTTCTAATATACTCATGCATATGGGGTCATGACTGGATCTGGATCAATGTACCAAGAGCCACATCCTTAAAGAAAACTAGCTCTTCTCCCAGAAGCCATCAGCTGTCAATTGCTCCTCAGCTAGGGGTTGGGGGCATTTGAGTCCCCATCTCCTTCATGCTGAAATATTGTATGTGTTGATTGTAACATGATTTCTAATTGTTCTTAATAATAAAAACCTGGAGTCAGATATTAGGGGGTGAAAGGTGAAGGATCAGAGAAGCAGAGCTGCCAGCCTGTAGAGGTTTTACCTCTACCAATGCTCAGACCAAAGGGGCGATCCTGTCTCTATGAATACTCAGACTGAATCCTCAGACCGCATCTGAACTTTTGTCTCCTCCCGTCTTATATTCTTCTCTCTGCCCAGCCATATCACTCCTGTCTCCACCTCCGTAGTGCTGGGGTTAAAGGCTTGTGATCCAGAGAACTGAATCACCTTTGTGTGAGCTCTGTATTTCTTTTAGATAGATTCAGTCTTGTGTAGCCCAGGGTGGCCTTGAACTCACAGAGATCTGTCTGTCTCTGTCTCCTGAGTGCAGGGATGAAAGGTGTGAGCCACCACTGCTAACCAGTGGCTTAACTCTACATTCTGATCTTCAGGCAAGCTTTATTTGTTATATTACAAACAAAATATCACTAGAGTTGATCTTGTACAGGTCTTGTGCACACAGCCATAACTACTATGAGTTCATAATTACAGCAGTCCCATCATGTCCAGAACACACTGGTTTGCTCCTGTATTTGTGACTTCTGGCTCTTGCAATCTTTCTATCTCTTTTCTTTAAGGGTGTGATTTAGATGCCTTATTAATACATAGCTTTTTAACAAGACATTGATGTAACCGGCACAGTGTATTTCTTCTGCTTAAATGTGTACACTCAGAATTTAAGTTGTAGACATCAGAGCAGTATTCACTTGACATATAAATAGCTCCTACTTCAAGCATTCTCGCTTAGACTCGAGGTAATAAATACATATGTATTAGTTGTGTGGATCAAACTGGACCAGTGCAGTGTAATAGAGAATGGCAGGGAGGGTTACACCAGGTGAGGAGGACCATGGATAATTAAGATGTCTATTTCATTGTTCTATGTGCAAAGAAACAGAAAGACAGTAAGGTCTTAGGAAGTGGCTAAGGGAGTTGAGAGGAGGTTTAGTTGTCTGTGAGCTTATGTTATCTTCAGATTGTTAAGAAGTCAGCAAGATTATACAATGTAGTTAGAAAATAGATTTTTTTCTCTATAATATATTCTGATCACAGTTTCCCCTCCCTCATCTCCTCCCAGATCCTCCCCACCTCCCTACCCATCCAGCTCCATCCCTTTTTTCTCTCTCTCTTTAGAAAACAAGCAGGCAAACAAACCAAAACCAAAAACCAATAACAATAAAAAAACAGAATAGAAAAACAAGGATAAACAACAACAACAACAAATAAGAAGTTTGAGAAGCGTGTGCGCGTGCACACACACACACACACACACACACACACCCCTTCCCAAATACCGTTAGGTTCATTTTGAGTTGGTCATCTACTACTGGACATGCGGTCTGTCCTTGAGAGTGGTTTGCATGCTCAGTGAAACACCAATGGAGAAAACTAATTTTTCCTTTCTGTGCAGTTGTCAGTTGGTTTTTGGTTAGGGATGTGAGATCATGTCCACTACCTCATCTCAGAGCTAGTACCTTATCCAGCTTGAATCTGTGCATGTTGCCACTGTCTCTGAATTTATGTGAGCATCAGTCCCTGTTGTATCTTGGAGGCTTTGTTTCCTTGGTGCCTTCTACCCTCACTGGCTCTTACAATATTTTGCTTCCACTTCCATAAAGTTCCCTAACTCTGAGGGAAAAGGTTTGTTGGAGACATCCCTTTTAGACTGGATGTTCCAAGAGCTCTCACTCTCTGCATATTGTCCAACCTTGAGTCTGTGTTTGTTCCCATCTACTACAAGTGGAAGGTTTTCTGGTGATGGCTGAGTGAGGCACTGATCTATGAGTATAGTAGAATGTTGTAAGGAGTCACTGTATTTCTTGTAGTATTTGGTTTGTTCTTTGGTCCATAGCCTATTTGGTACTTTGTTCTTGGCCACCCAAGCAGGGTCAGGTATGTGTTCTATCACATGAAGTGGGCCTTAAGTCAAATCACATATTGGTCACTGCCTCAAGCTTTGTGCTACCATTGCCCTAGCATATCTGACAGGGAGGATATCATTGTAGATCAAAGGTCGTGTGGCTGGTTTCATGTTTACATTTCTCTTTTGTTGAAGATGCTTGCTTTTTTCCAATCTGTATTTCTGGCTTCTTTATCAAAAAATGAGGTGTTCACTGGTATGTAGATTGATGTTTGAGTCTTCAGTTTGATTCCTTTGAAGAGCCACAGGCAATCAATGACTGTCAAGAGAGGAAGAGTTATCTTCCTCAGGGATAAACTCCCTACTTGGTTATTCAGTACCAAGTAGTGAGCCCTAAAAACATGTATGAATATATAAGCAACACTAAATAGACTCAGCAGGTAGGATTTATATATTAATATGTATGCATTAATGTATCAATGATTAAAGAAAAAGAAAACAAGAGAGAAAGAAGAAGAAAACAAGAGATATAATACATGAAGGTAGAATAAGGGCTTGAAAGTAGAAGAAGGGGAACATTGAGGGGAGAACAAGATATAGAGCAGGGAATTGAAGATGATCAGCATATAATATATACATGTATGAAACATCATAATAAAACCCATCAATTGTACAATAATAAGTGCTAAGAAAATGGAATGACATTTACAGATAATTGATATACACACATATAATGTTGCCATCTTAAAAAACAAAGTTGTATACTAATGAGATGGATATGTTTATTTTTACACAAAGGATTAATCTTGGCTAAATATGGAAAATACATAAGCTCACATAGTTAAGTACATTTACAATTTTTCCAGTGAACTTAGTCATAACATTTTACAATGACTTTTGCATACCACAAATAAACAGCAACATCAAGATTAAAAGTCATAAATCTTCTTGGCTCCATGATTTGTCACAACCCAGATGGCCTTATGACTCCTAGGATCCTGTTCTTGTCATTCTGTTGCCTAACTGTCTCTTGTTAGGCATTGCAATTTTCAAGTAAAGGGCAGTGCTATATGTTGTTAACAAGTTTGTTTTAATTTGCTTCTTCAGATGGAATTTAAAATTGAAAACACTTGGGATGGTTTTCCAGTGAAGCATGAGCCAGTGTGTATCAAGCTGAGCCCAGGGGACAAGGGCGTGAAGATGGAGGTTAGTGCTCCATTTTTCAATGATCCTCCAGCTCCTCTTGGAGAACCAGGAAAGCCTTTCAGTGAACTGTGGAATTATGAAGGTAGGCAGAAGTATTGTATTTTATTAGAAACATAAATCTTTTTCTAATAACCTCTCAGAGAGCTATTATTTTATCTCGCTGTTAGGAAGTAATGTGCTTTTGAACAACTGACGTTCAGTTCCTGATCTTGACCATCTGTCATTCTGACTTTGCTCCCATTACAGCGGGGCTCCAGCATATAAGCAGAGCAGAGGAAAATGGCAATCCCAAATCCAGATGCTTATATTGCTGCCACATTTCCTTCCTTTCTTACATCATATGCTCTAAAAAGAGATCATGTTCTGTCTTTTAAGACTATTTAAATCACCATCTCTACCTTACAAGCCTCCTTAATGGGAATTTTAGGGTGTGTTACTTACTGGAGAAACACTGTCAGCATGAGATTTAATATTTACTTTCTGCTGTCAAGTAATCTCACATATCAAATTAAGGCCAGAAGACATTCCAGGAAATTAAATGCTTTCAGGTTTGTTATCCGACCTTCTTGTACTATATCCTCATCAAATCGCAGGGTTCTTTCTGAAATACTGTTCTTGATGCCATCCCCATAGATATAAAACACTGCATTACAGAGAAATTGAGAATTTACCCCAAGATTTCTCACTCAGTGTATTGGCATTTATTTACTTGGTTAGCAGAGAGCCTTTCTTCTAAGTAAACTCTTTTCCTAAGTCCATGTTTCTCTTTGAAGCCATAGTGATCTGTTACTTCTCTAAATGAAGCTAATGCTCAAAAACCCCTGAAATTAATAATAAAAATCACCATTTACAAATAAACCAGTACTTTTTAGTTAGTTTTAAAAATTAGTTTAAAAAAAAACATTTCCATGTTTGCGGAGGTCAGGGGACTTGTGGGAGTTGGTTGTCTCTACCCACTGTGTGGATTCTGGGGCTCTAACCCAGGTCCTCGGGCTGGGTAGTAAGCACTTTGCCTGCAGCTACAACACTATCCCCACCACTCTTCATATCTGTTGTGATGTTGTAGACAGGTAGTCACTGGTACAAACATGCACATACATACACATGCTTAAATCTCATGTGCATACAGTTCATTGGCTCATACATTGAGTTACTGCTCTATAACAAGCCTGAAAATAACATGGAAGTCTTGTTATTCCAATACATATTTCACTGTCTTTGATTTTCATGGCACCATTGTATTCCATTACATGAAATGTATGCATTCTGTAACATACCCAATCAGTTTTGCTGAATAATAGTGGCCTATTTATGTACCAGAAAATATTTTTTGTGTAAGAAGAGATGTATCATTTCTACTTTTTTGAGTCATACCACGATGGGTAGAAGTGTGCTTAACTTCTTTTTCTAATTGTCTGATTTATTTCCTTGAAATAAATTCCAAGAGGAAGATAACTGTGCCTGAGTCCATCTGTGCAGACATGTTCACTTCCCTGTGGTCTCACTATCACTAGGCTTTGTATTTCCTACCCGCAGTAGTATGATGATTTAAAAAACTTAGTAATTCACTTTATATTAGAAAAGAATAAATTATTTACTATGTAAGCAAAATAAAATTTCCCATGTTCTGTCTATTTTCATAAGTTGTGGAAGCATTTTTCTTGAATGATACAACTGAGCAGTATTTAGAAGTTGAACTTTGTCCGTAAGTATAAACTGTTTATCTTAACTCTTACTGAATAACTTGAACATGCTTGTTTTCTAGTTATAAATAGTATGGTTGTAGTAAAGCTCACTAGGTTCAGCTAAGTAGAGGTCATATTAACTGGAGTCAGTTTTAAATCTTGTTTTTTGCTGTCTTGTACAATGCATACCTTCAGAATTTATGTTTAGAATATATATTTTACACACACACACACACACACACATACACATATATATCCTACATGTTTGAGTGTATTATGTTGATGTGATTTTTTTGGTTTATTGATATAAATGATTTTGTAATAAACTTTATAATTTATTAAAAGTAGAAAAAATTACTATGAATAAATCATTACTTTATATGTTTGCACCGTGATATATTAACTATTTAGAAGTAAAGGGACACTTCTGATCCCTACCGAAGACATTATCTCTAATTCACAACCACATGCAATGGAAAAATTAGTTTTCTTCAGTGGAATCTCAGTGGGCACACAAACTACACTTAAGGGCAGTCCTCAGGCTCAGCAGTGACTGACACAAAGCAAATTCAATGGTATTTTTGTAGGCTTTTTTTTTTTTTGGACTCCTATTGCTTTTTGAGGGCATTTTTTTTTAAATCTTACTTGTCTTTTGCTTGTGTGTTATGGTTTCTAATTTTGTGTTTTTATGGGTTTTGTTTTTGTTCATATGCGTGTCTCTGAGCATGTTGTGTGAGCTTGTGCTCATGTGCACACATGTTTATTCTGGTCTGACTTTTTTATCTGCCTGTTTGTTTCCTGAAAAAAGAAACATCTAACATGGTGTTAGATGGGTGGGGGAGAATCTACCAGGAGATAGAGGAAACTGTGTTCAGAATATATTGTGTGAAAAATTTTATTTTTAATAAAAATAGGACACATAAAGATATTACTAACTTGCAGCAACATTTCTTTTAGATTCTTGAAGATTAAACTTTAATTTTATGTATTATATAATACTATATTCATGTATTTATTCATTTAGTCATCAATCATTCTTTTGAGCACATAGTGTACTGTTTTTGCATTTAATGCCAAGAAGCTAATTTAAATCGTACCTGAATTTTCCAAGAGTCACGGTAAAAATATTACCTTTGGAATTTTTTTATTTTTATTTTTTTTTTATAATTAATTAATTAATTAATTGTCTTCAGACACATTTTCACTGTATAGCTCTAGCCAGTCTGGAACCCTTGGGGACTAAAGGTGTTGGCTGCTACACCCAGCTGTCTTGGAATTTCTTCGTTTGTGCTTACTTGGGAATATTTACTTGGGAACTTGATTTACATGGTGACATACTTCTATTCCTCAGTAGATGTAAACTAAGGAAACTTACATTTACTTGTTATCTAAATTATAGCATGCTTTTAATACATGAGATGTTTCTATATTGCTTATTTATTTTAGATGTCAGTTAAATATTTCTCAGTATCAGTGTCCAGTAATATTTATTCCTTTGTAAACTGACAATTGAACACCAATTAATCTTTACAAAATTTAGATTCCCATTTGTTAGTTGTTTCTTTTTTATTTTGTTTTGCTTTTGCTAACTCTAACATGAAAAAAATGCAGTTATTTGCAATTCGTTTTTTGCTTTGTTTTGTATTGTTTTCTGAGACAGGCTCTTACTTTGCAGCCCTGGCTAGCATGGAGTACACAAAATTCACCTGCCTCTGCCTGCAAGTGCTGTGAATGAAGATGCACGCTACCACATGAAGCCTGTTATAGTTATTGTTGTTGTTGTTAGTATTACTTGGTTTTTCAAGAGAGCATTTCTCTGTGTAGCTTTTTGAGCCTGTCCTGGAACTGGCTTTGTAGACCAGGCTGGCCTCAAACTCAGAGAGATCCTCCTGTCTCTGCCTCCTGAGTACTAGGATTAAAGGTGCGCCACCACCGCCTGGCTGCCTGCTATTCTTTTTTAAAATCAGAATAATTAGATATGTTTTCATGTTATCTTCCAACTAGCATGGCAAAATATTTTATTTAAAGCTACGATTAGTTCTTATAAAATATTAAGAAACATAGAAAAGTTTTAGCTATCATGTGCTGACTTTTGCCCCACAGATGAGAGAGAAAGCTAAGACAAACATTTCTAATTTGACTGAAAGACAACAAAGAACTTAGATTTACCAAAACTCTCAAGTTCAAGCTTAGAATTTGTTTTTAAAATTTGTTTTACATTTTTGAAAAGCACTTATTCATTTATTTTAGATATGAGTTTAGTATGTGTTTGTATACATAAGTGCACCATGTGTAGCATTTGAAGGTCAGGGGACAATGTGCAGGAGTAAGTTCTCTCTTTCCAAGTTCTTGTAATTGAACTAAGGACATCGGGCTTGGCAGCAATCTCTACCTGCTGAGCCATTGTTCTGGCTCCTGCAGTTTTCTTTCATTAGATTGTATCAGATTATTTTCATGAAGTGGCAGTCTAACATTGGATACATGGAAAAAAATAGTTTTTCATTAAGAAACTACATGGTAGGGGCTGGAGAGATGGCTCAGTGGTTAAGAGTGCTGCCTGCTCTTCCCGAGGTCCTGATTTCAATTCCCAGCAACCACACGGTTGCTCACAGCCATCTGTAATGGGGTCTGGCGCCCTCTTCTGGCCTGCAGGCATACAGACAGAATACTGTATACATAATAAATAAATAAATATTTAAAAAAAAAAGAAACTACATGGTAGCCATTGTGTATAAAAGTTTTTAAAATCAGCATCCTCAGGGTAGCTTGGTTTGTGTACCTCAGAATAGTTAATTATCAAGAATCGCGGTTCTGCCTCAGGCAGTCAATTCCTATCCTGCTTAATTAAGAGCTAGAGAAGCAGCAAGAAGAACACTGTTTTAATTTGCAAGAAGTTTTACGAATTCTAGGATCTTCCTAAAGCCCCATAAAAACATAAAATTAATCAGAGGATTTTAAAATGGAAAGCGTTACTTCTCTTCTGTTAGAGTACTTTATTGCAGAAAATCCTCCCTCCAAAAGCTCACAAAGGACCATCTGGGTGGAAATGTTTGATAGACTTCCAGAGGCAGAAAATTTACTTCTCGTAAATACATGCAATCCATTGCTTCTTAAAGACTTCGATAATCCCACTTATTCATTCCCATTAGGATTTCCTTTTGAGACTCTGTTGTTGTGCTTCTTTTTGGAGATGTGGCATTGGTGCCTGAACAAATGGTAGGAAGCTGGGAAACAGGTGCAGACTATTCAAGGATAGCAGTGTGAAAAAACAGCTATAGGTTAAAATCTGCGCCTTGTTGACTAGTTTTGGCCAATCTATATTGTACGTTTTCTGTCTTCCTAATGGACCTCAAGAACGTTTCTTACAGAAATAACCTTTAGTTAAACTACTAGATAAAGACTGGAAATCAGCTCTAGCTTTCCTTGGCTGCTTCAGTTGTTGCAGCTGTTTTTTATTTTAAGCCGTAAGTATTATGATTATTTCTTTCTTCATACATTGTGTTATCTAACCAAATGAAGTATTTTATATAATTTCCTATCTAAAGAATGTGGAAATCAAGGGTCAGTGAAATTGTGCAGTGGGTAAAGAATATGAAAAGTAGTGTTAACCAGCAAAATGTTATGATTTATCAGCAGATGTTTAGGAAACAGTAATTCCAAAGTTGCCATTTCTAAATAGTGTGAGACACTGGCTCTCCCTATCGTTATCCAATATTGTATTGCATTTTTTGTTTATTTGGAAATTTAGCTACAAGCACATACGTTACAGATAGAGAAAATCGTAAAGAAGATAATATTATTTTTCTTGTAACAAACCATAGAAATGATCCCTAAAGGTATAGTCTTAATATTGTTTTTCTTTAACACTCATGAGGAATCTTAATTTTGACAGACATGGACAACATTTAGTTCTTTTACTCTCTGGAAGAAGAAATATTTGGAAAGTGAGTAAACAAACATATGGGACCAAATCCTCTAATGCACAGCACGTGTACCTGGTAGTCTGAACTTGCCTTTTATGTCTCTCCTAGAAAGAGCTCGAGTTATCATTCAAAGTGTTCAGAGGGGAGACCAACTGGGAAGGCACAGCTCTTCTTCCTTGGAGTTATTTTCCACCAAATGTGACAAGATTCAACTCATTTGCAATTCATGGATCAAATGAAAGAAGAAGTTATGAAGCCCTTTACCCCGTGCCACAGCATGAACTGCAGCAAGGACAACAGCCTGATTTGTAAGTAAAAAATAAGTAGAGGTACATTCCAACTACAGAAGCTGTTGTGACCACAAACTCTGAGACCTGCCTGCTTCTTCCTCCCGAGTGCTGGAACTAAAGGCTACCACCACCTGGTGGGAGTTAGTTCTTGACACTTGGTAGTTGATGATACGTGTGGGCACATACGAAAGGCCCTGTGTTCCCTCATTCACCTCTACTTTTGACCATGATCGATTATCTCATTACTTTCAGCAAAGCACTTAGTCTTTCATGATTATATAAGAAGAATATTAATGAGTGAGTGCACATCAACTGATGCTTGTTGGCATACAAAAGAGTTTCACACTAACCCGGAATGGAGTATAACAAAAGTTTATTTATCTAGGGGTAAACTCACAGAAAGAGTAGCGATTTGTAGTTCTCTACATGCGCTGGGAACTGGGACCAAATTTAGCAGCCAAGAGGCCCGCACATGCTTTGTGGTCTGCATTTATAGTATGTGAAGCTGTGCCCAAAGTGAGCCTGTATCTTAAAGGCTATTGGATGAAGGAGTTTCCATAGCACCTCCCCCTTTTGTCTAAATAAGAGAGTTCTAAACCTAATACAAAACAATATACAATAAGAACAAATATCAAGTATTGTCCAGGGAAAAGAAGAGGCAAAAACGTATATAAAAATTAGAATACAACCAGCATGCACAGCATCAAGCAAGAAATATATGCTAAATGTTTCTATAGTTATCCTATCCTAAGGAGTCTAAGTCTTATATTAAAAATGGCTTGGCTAAGTCATGAGAAGAAACTAACTATGACTTCAACCCAATCAAAGGCCTGAGAAAGAAAATAATATTACTTGAGTAAACAGGAAGTGCTATTATGCAGCTTTCAAAAGGGGCAAGAAATGACAGAGACAACCAGCTACGTGGGAAATCACCCACAGTATTATTTGCAATGTTGGAGCAACCGACTTTGGCTAAGACCTAGAGTAACTGACATCATTTTTAGAGGCAAGAAAAATTTTAAAAACTGTCTTACCCTGTCTTGGCAAGGTTTGGCAGTCTTTCTGCTTGTATCCTGCTTGTCCAGTCTGGACACTGTGCATTTTATCAGTGGTTGAGGCAGGGGCAGTTGAGGCCAGGTTTGCGAAGAAGAAAACAAGCTCTGAGTGGCGTTTCTTCAATGTCCATCAACCTCTCTGAAGTAATTGGAGCTGCCAGAAGCAGACATGTCTCACTGTTGAGAAAAGTCTAAGTTCTTAAAATATTTTAAATGCCATATTCTGTAGCTCTTTGAAAGATTTGAAGATTATCTGTCTAACTAAAGTAGATCTCTACATATCTTATATCTTTAACTAACATGACTACAAGTAATTATACATTACATTTTAAAATGAGCTACACAAACACAATACTTTAAACAAGAGCAGAAATACATTTACACAGTATAACAAAATTGACCTTATATTTGTATCAATGGACCAAAGTCCATACCAATGCAAAGTATTCATCTCTATATCATATCTCCCTTTAAATGAAAACAAACATTTATAAACAATCATTTTGGGAATTTGGGTGTAGTTTTCTACCAACCGCTTCCTACTGTTTGTTGAGTAAAGTATTTTTAGGGTTCACGGAGACCTTTTGGGGGAGTCTCACTCCATCAAACCACATTAGCCTTGAAGGAACCACAGGTTCTCATCTTCTGTGGAAGCAAAAGCGAACCTCTTTTCTGGAGTAACATATACTTAGATCAAATTTTGAAGTCAAATTTATACTTTTAAAATATGTTGGCTTAACTTAGCACCCCTCAGAATCAAATGATTCTCTGCAGTCAAAAAATTCAAAGAAAACACAATAATACGCATAATCCAGATTCTCTGTGTATTTTCCATCTTTATGTGGCTTATTTTTTTTACTACTTTAATCTATGATTGCCTGTACTCTTTTATATTACTTTTACTGTCTCTTTAAAGACTTATTTCTTTTTATAACTGTCTATTCTCTTTTTCCTCTCTCTCCCAAGCCTACTTACATTTAACACACACTGTGTCTCATTTGGAGGTCTTTTGTAGCAGCAGGCCGCTTGGCTGCTTGGCTTCTTAGTTTCCCAGTCACCCAGACCCTCGAAATAATCACAAAGAAATTGTATTAGTTAAATCACTGCTTGGCCCATTAGCTCTAGCTCCTTATTGGCTAACTCTTACATCTTAATTTATCTCATTTCTAGTAATCTGTGTATTGCCACATGGCAGTGGCTTACTGGCAAAGTTTCAGCATGTCTGAGTCTGGTGGAAGCTCCATAGTGTCTTTTTCCTCCCTTCTTTTTCCCAGCATTCAGCCTAGCTTTCTTTGCCTACCTAAGTTCTGCCTTGCTCTAGGTCCAAAGCAGTTTCTTTATTCATTAATGGTAAATCACAGCACACAGAGGGGGCTCCCACATCAGTCTTTTATGTCTGAATTGGTCCTGTTGTGTATCTGAAATCCTTTTCTGATAAGGAACATTTTAAAACAGTAAGCAGTGTGGTTGTGGCAGCCCTGGATGCTGACTTCATCCCTCCCCTCTTGTCCTTCCAGTATGGTGGAGGTACGTTTACTGCCACCTCTGGGACTTCTGAGCCGGAGTCGTGCTCACCGCCTCAACCCTGGGAAGCACCATGCAGCATATAAACCATTTTTGTCTGAGTAAAAGTTAAATCTGCCATGCAGCATCTGTGTATAGAGGCAGGAATCCACCATGCTCCCCTGCCTGTGCACACCCAGCAGACCCGATCTGGCAGGTTGCCCAGAGACTGCTGAGTTGCTGGTGTGCTCTCAGCTACTTTCCTCCTAACCCTGAGCAGGTGTACAAGGACCTGGACCCGAAATGGGTGGCAGACCATGTGTGTTGGCCCCACATTGGGCACTTTTGTAGATGGATGCTGCTCATTTATTTCCCGGCTTCTCAGACCTGAATACTCACACAAAAACTATATTAATTCCAACAATGCTTGGCCATTGATTCTAGCATATTCCTAGCTAGCTCTTGCATTAAATTGACCCATTTCTATCAATCTGTGTACTGCCACAAGGCTGTGGCCTACTGGTAAAGTTCCTAAAGTTCTGGTGTGTCCTCCTTTGGCAGCTACATGGTGTCTCCTTGACTCTGCCAACTCTTGCTCTCTGTCTCTGTTCTGATTTCCTACCTGGCTTTACTCTGCTAAGCCATTGGCCGAAACAGCTTATTAACCAATGGTAATAAAACATAGTCACAACATACAGAGGGGAATCCCACATCAGATACTGATATGGCTTCAAATTAATTTATGATCCTTTTCCTAAATATGGTGGCCATAGGGATCTGTGTTTTGTGATATGGCTAGAGGTGTTACGAACTCTTCTTTGTTACTAAAGATCTTGTACTCAGTCATATCTCTGCTTTTTTGGTTGCCTCATTTGAATATGAGTATCAACTACATTTCTAGGTAACTGTACTTGTGATAAACTTATTTCTTAATTAGTAAATGACATCTGCATTAAGTAATTTTGAATGACCTGTAAATACATGATGGAGACAGTGTGGCTTAGGGATTCCTCTTTAACAGTCATGTTATCTGTGGGGACTCAAGTTGATGCCCTCTAGTGGTTGTCAGAGGTGGTGTCTCCTGTGAGACAGCAGGTATTTAAGCCAAGGTACCTTCAACACTTGTCCTATTTTAGTCTTGTCTCCTGGCATCTGAATCTGTCATCTAGGAAGGACATAGATCTTATTGAGCCTTCTGAATGCTTCATGCATTGCTGCAAGGACTAGTCCCTTACGGAGGAAAACTCAGTACTTTCGTAGGGCAATCTTTGATTCCTGCTGTCTGTCTCTTAATGTACTCAGTGTGGTCAGCCCTGGGGAGTCTGGATGCTTAGCAGGGCCTAGCAAAGACATCCTAGTGGGCAGCACCAGGCTTGCTAGACATTCCTGCCTTTTAACCCTTAGGATATGACACCACCTTTTTTCTCTATGTTTAACTTCTCTTGCTTTTACTTAACTTCTTTTCCCTTCATTTCTTCTAGCAGATGCTTGCATTCTGCTTGACACACTTAAACATCTACTTTTTTGTCTTTCTCCCCAGTCCTGACTCTTTTGGCCTAGCTCTTTCTCTTTTTCTCTGCTTCTTCCTTCACTGTTGATCCTTAGCATCTTACTCTGGGATTTATTGATGTTACTCTAAACTGGTTCACCCTGGCCTGGTGCTCAGACAGGAATAGAAATCGAGGTGCCACTGACTGAAAGCCATCAAACCAAGGCCATGTGCCACTCTTCCTTTTCAGTTGCTGGTACCTTCCCAGGGAAGTATGCGTGCACACTGGCTTGGGAGGAAGGATGGCAGAGCGATTTCCTATAGCTCTGAGCTTTACAGAAGCATAGGTGAAAACCTTTCTTTGCGCACTAAGCCAAAAGAGAACACTTCAGGATAATAATGGTTTTTCTGGAAAGAAAAGATTGTTCCTCTTCTTTGTTAGTCTCCTTTACTTTGGCAGAGAAAGAACATGCATCTGTCTTTGTCCTTTGTTCACCAGAATTCATTAAAGTTTAAGAACATATTCAAGAACTTATGATTTGTTTACAGCTAAAATGATTTAGACTGTGTGTGTGTTTGTGTGTATGTGCGCGCTCATGCGTTTGTGTCCATGCAGATAGAGTCCCAAAGATACCTTCATGTGTTGTTCTTACGGGATACTGCCCACATCATTTGAGACAGGGTCTCTCATCGGCCTGGAGCTTACCACCAAGAACAAGCTGGCTAGCCAGTGAGCCACAGGTATCATTCTGTCTCTGCCTTCCCTGCATGGGGATTACAAGTGAGCACCACTACACCTGGCATTTTTATGTGTGTTTTGAGGATTGAATTCGTGTTTACTTAGCAGACACTTTACTGAGCCCCTTGAGAGCTGATGTTTACTTTTCCCTTGAGCCTTGAGGGAGCCATGTGTAGGACTGAAGAAGACTGCTTTGAAATATGGGTGAATGTTTTTAGAACCGAGTACTCGGTAGCTACAGTGAGAAAACTGTACACAGAGAATACATCTAACATTTGTTATTCCCTAAAATGGAGTGTTGTACTATCATCGATGTGACAAAACAAATAGTTCTATAGGACCACAATTTCACAAATACATAATTTACTTCAATTTCTTCCTTTCTTTACTTTTAGCCATCGTCTAGAATATTTCAAGCCTTTCAGTCTTAACACGCTGCTTGGAGAAGAATGGAAGCAGCCAGAATCAGACATGTGGCTAAAAGAGAGACCTGATGTGTAGAAGTGTAGTAGTAACCGAGCACGTCCATCATTTCTCCTCTGTGCTTTTAAGGTATTCTAATAAAATACGTAAACACATTTCAACAACAAACATTTTACCAGAGCTCACTGAAATGTAGCATCTCTGTGTCAAATTGCATATGTTAACATAGAAACAGAAACTGTGTAACATAAAATAATTTTTACTTAAATATCCTGTTTATCCATGAAATTAGTAGAAAACAGTAATCTCTTTCAGTTGATGAGACAGTCTACATCTGCTAAGACACCGAGATAGAAGAATTCTTTAACTAGATACCTTTACTGTGTAGGAAGGAATGAAACAGTCTTGAATTCTGGAAATAGAGTTGATACTTTTACTTACAGATAAGGACATTTTCTTAATGCTTCTAAGTACGATGTTAGAAAACTTCATTTGATTTTTGAAGTGCCACACCTTCCTAGTTGAAGATAGATCCCAAAGTACTAAATCAGTACCCCCTCACCTAAATGGATCATGCAGACAAAAATGTCAACAAAAGGAGCCACAGAGTGAAACCACACCACTGATCACATAGATACAACTGCAGTGTTCCACCAACAGCTGCAGAATGAGCTTGATGTTTTCCAGAATAAGACCACAAACACATTTGTTGCATTCCAGATGGCTGTAGCTGCTTGGGTTTTTCTATAACAGAATTTTAGGTCTTATAAACAATTCAGCCAAGTGATATACAACACAATCAGCATACATGCAAAAATAATAGCTTTTGCATACATCAATAACCAACCTGCTGAGAAAGAAATCAGGAAAGCAATTCCATTCACGGCAAAAAGAATATCTAGGAACAAGCCTTGTTCATGACTTTTCTCACTGTAGTTATGAGATAATTGAGAAAAGCAACTCAGTGAAGGGAGGTTTTATATTGACTCAGTGTGAGGATACAGTCCATCATGATGAGGAAAGCATGACAACAGGCCATGAGGTGGCTGGTCACCTTGTGTCTACTGTCAGATCAGAGAGGAATGTTGGTGCTCCGCTTACTTTCTTATTTTCATTCCACCCTTGGACCTTCTGGGTGTATTTTCCATTATCAAGCTTCTGTGAAGGAGTACGGCTCCTTGGTGATTCTAAGTCCAGTCAAACACATAGTGAAGAGTAGTCATCATATCTTGCTGAGGTGGCAAAAGGCTTCTATGATGAAAGTTGCAGAACACTGGAGAAAAAAGTTGAAGAAGACGTTAGAAGATTAAAAGACATTCCATGTTCTTGTATCCACAGATTTAGTATCGGGGAAATGGCCGTATGAAAATGAAATACCTAGAAGTTCATTTGATCACCTTCTAAATTTAAATTCTATTCTTCAGACAGTTAGAACAATATATAAAGTGTGTATGAAAACACAAAGACCTATAATAGGTAAAGATGTCCCAAGTATGAAGAACATTATTGGAAGTCTCCCAATATCTGATTTAAAATTATACTATAGAGCTGTTGTTATTGCAGCTCTATGGACCAGCACAAAAGCAAGCAGTAGACCAATGGACTAGAACAGAGGATCTTAAAATTATCCTACACAGCCATAGTTTTATCAACAAGTGTTGCTGGGAAAATAGGATATTTGCATATGTTAGACTCAAGCTAGATCCCCATATCCCACCCTGTACATAAATCAGCCCCAAGACCTTAATGTAACATCTGGAACATTAAAACTGATAGAAGAAAAGATAAAGAAAATGCCTCAAGATGTAAATATAGGCAGTAACTTCAGGAATATGCTCCATTGTCTCTGGAATAAAAGAATCGACAAATTATATTTCATCAAATTAAAATAAACTGTACAGGAAAGGAGACAGTTAGTGAAGTGAAGAGACAGCCTACAGCAGGGGAGAAAATCTTTGCTAGCTACTCTTCCCTCAGAAGCTTAACATCCAGCGTATACAAAGAGCTCAGAAAAAAATACCAAAGCTAAGTAGTAAAGCTCAATAAGTGAGCAGGCCATCTACACAGTTCTCAAAAGAGTTTGTAGAGCCATCTAATAATTATAAAAACTCAGTGTTTTTAGGTATTAGTTATGCAAGTTAAAACTGTATTGAGATTTCATCCTAGGAAAATGGATCTTTAATAAGATGACAAGTGCTGGTGAAGGGAAGGAGGAGAAGGAGCCTTTATTCACTACTCATGGGTATTAGCACTGTCTACTGTGAAAATCAGTATGGCGATTCCTCATCAACACTGAAAATAGAACTCCCATATGATCCAGCTCTGCTAGTTCTGAGTATATCCCCAAGGGAATCAGAATAACACAATGCAAAGGCACCTGTGTAGCTGTGTTCACAATGTCCAAGTTATGGCATCCATCTAGGTATCTGTCTAACTCATGATTAGATAAAGAAAACACACTCCAGACAGAGAGAGACAGAAATGACATACCATTCAGCCATAAGAAGAACAAAATTATGTCATTTTCAGGAAAATGGAAATAAATTAAGTCAGACTGAAAGATAAGTAACTCCTGTTTTTTCTTTTTATGAAAGTCAAAGAAAACATTTGAATATAGGACAAGAGGTTATTAGAAAAGTAGAACAGGATTTGAGGAGAAGGGAGAGATGGGGGAAAAGACGTGGGGAATAAAAATGTTTACAGTTGTATACATGTATGAATCTGCCAAAGTAAAAATCTGCAATTCTGTATAGTATATGCAAATTAAAATTTCTTGGTATAGAACTCTCAAATTTTGTTCTGTGTTTCAGAGCTTGCTTTGTAATAGATGTGTGAACTTCTGTATCATACTTAGTCCTTCTCAGCATCATTAGCTCAGAGACCAGACTCACAGAAGGTAAAGACACTTGCCATCTCTCCTCCCATTTAAAAAGAAAAGATTTATTTGTGTGCATGCGTGTTTGTTATTGTTTACATTCATGCAGAAGATCAGGAGGACAGAGGAGGACAGAAGAAGCCTAGGGGTCTCCACAACTGGAGTTACAAGCAGTTCTGAGCTGCCTGACGACATGGGTGTTGGGAATTGAACTCAGGTCTTTTACAAGAGCAGCGCGAGTTTTTAACCCTTTTCCATCTCTCCAGACCCTCTCCTCTTCTTTAGTAACAGAAGTTGAATTTTTAGAGGCTTTTCTTAGAAATGTTATTTACTCAAAACAATCCACCTCTATTTCCCCAGATTCTTTTGTAGATAATATGGCCATGGAATGGTTTGTGTCAGTGAGATGTACAATATACGTGATACATGTCATGTGCTGTATAACATTCTGATTAGTAACAGACTGCTGGTACTGCTTCCATAAAGTTCTAATTGAGCCGAAATGTGATACTTTCTAGTGATAACATAGCCATTGTAATATTAATGGCACAGTGTACTCTATGTTTGTGTTGATGTTTCTATAAAGAAACCTACTGAGCTGCCAGTTCTATTAAAGTGTAAGAACACAGTTGTGTACAGAACAAAATGCTTGACGATGATGGTAAATGACTGTGTGACTTGTTTATTCATTTAGCATACTGTACTTTTATCATTTTGGAGCATATTATTAAGATTTTTATGGTAGAATAATATGCTTTGTTACAGTAGCAACAGCTTTAAGCAGCTCATTTTTAGGGCATTTCTTGGTAGCATCAATAGGTCGCATCAACTGATACTATCTGAGTTTATGTAAGTATACACTATAAACTATTTAAAAATCAAATATGGGTGACATGTCTCTGAGAAAATGCCCATGGTATTAAGTGGCATGAAGCTGTTACGCAGTCTTAGGTGGGCGTGAAGAAACTTATTTCAGTCTGGGGGTTTACCTCAGTAGTAGAGTGTATAGCGAGTATGTGCAAGACCCTCTTTCGATCCCAGAATGGGGAAAAGAAAAATGTTGAAAGAAGAAAGTTTTTATAAAAGCTAAATCAGTACTTTTTTAAAAAAGTATGTGTGATACTGTGAAGACAACCCATGGAGAGTTTCATCAGAAGACAGAGGAAGCACAGTAGGGTTCTATATCACAGCTAGATTGTCTACCATCAGACTTGTTGTTACATGGAGAAAACCTGCCTAATTTGTTCACAAAAGTAAAAAGAACAAATAGCTCCCATACTTAGTCCAACGAAACTCCTAACTTCCATTTAGATAGAAAATGTAAGTTGGGTTCTCTTCCTAAATTTATACAGTTTCACTTAGTATCTCTCCTTTAACCTTGTGTGAAATGTGCTAGCCAGTTCAATGAAGGGACGATTTAGGAATAAGACAGGTATCATAAGGAAATGAATTAAAATATTTTCAAATGTATTATTTACATTTAAAATGATTATAATTTAAGACCTGGAGATGTGGTTCAGTGGTTGAACACTTACCCATCATGTCAGAAGCTCTGGGTGTAATTTCTAGCGCCATAAGAACATATAAGAAATAATAAAATTAGTGGCTTGACGGATGGCTCACTGGTTAAGAACACTCATTGTTTTTGCAGAGACCAGCATTCACATGGTGGCTCACACCATCTATCTATAACCTCAATTCCAGGGGATCTGATGTTTTTTTCTGGCCTCTAAGAGTACCAGGTACACACATGGTACACACATATATATGTACAGGCAAAACATTTGTTAATACAGAAAATTTGTTATAGTTTATAGAAAATGGAGGTATTTACAACAGATTTCTATAAATAAAAGTGATTTTAGCCCAATTGTATCAGCACACAGCCAATATATGAGTATATATTACATTTATGTCTATTATAAACAATTCATAGTTCAAAATTACTTATAAAATCAAAACATGAAAAAAATCAAGACTAAATGTAATTAAAATCAATATTATGAAGCTGTATTTTAATTGATTTGTAGATTCTGTTCAATCCCAGTTAGAAATGCTTAAAGATTTTTGTGTTGTCTGTTGGTGGAAGAGAGAGGAACTGACAGATGAATTTAAAATTGTATGGCAATAGAGAGGGATTAAAAATGACTTAGATAATTCTGGGAAAAAAAGGGCAGAGTTGGAGGATTTATATTAGCAGATTTCAATAATCTCTGTTAAACTTTGGTCCTGAACACAGAATCATATTAAGTTTATACAAATACATCAGTAATATAAATGCCATGTATTGGGAAAACAGACTTTGACTCCTGCTTAAACATCATATTCCAGCATTAATGTAACTGTGACTATTGAGACAAAAACTCATAAGATCTTTATAGATCAGGATGAGCATTTTTCCAAAAAAGTCCACAAAAGTCACTAAACAACAAGACAAATTGGACTTCATCAAAATTAAACACTGATGAAGCAGGGAAGTTTTTCAGTAGGGAAAAGTGTTTGCTGCATGAGCTGCTGACCTGAATTCAGTCCTCAGAATGGACAGACTTGAGAGATGGCTCAGTGGTTGACAGTTCCCGCTGCTCTTGCAGAACAACCAAGTTTAGTTCTCAGGTTCCATATTGGTCAGTTCACAACCACATTTAACTCCAGCTCAAGGGGATCTGACAACAGTGTGCCTCTGTAGGCACTTGTGTACACACACGCGCGCGCACACACACACACACACACACACACCCCAAAAAAAGTAAAACCTTAAAAATAAGAACTGGATGCAGTGTTGCACATCTGTAATCCCAACATTTCTGTCTATGAGGTGGTAGGCATAGACAGGAGGACTGGCCAGAGCCTTGTGGGTCAGGTAGCGTGGAGTATGCTGTGTATCAGTAGCAAGGAGAGATCCTGCCTCAAGGTGGAAAAAGAGAACCGATTCCCAAACATTGCCCTCTGACCTTTACATGTTTATCCTCACTCACAGATGTGAATGCATACACTTATACAAATGCATACAATAAAGAAATAAAATCTAAAGAAAAAAATTCATGCTCACCAATATCCTCTCTTAAGGAAGGGAAAAGAAAGCTATAGATTGGCAAGGAAAACAATATATATTAATAATAATATATAATAAACATACACATATATGTATGCATATGCAACAGAATGATTTTTATACAGAGCATATGGAAGACCTCCAGAAAACTAGAAAAATGACAAGGCAGTAAAAGAGCAAAGACTTGAGCATACATATACTGTATTAAAATACACAGAAGGGCATATATCGAAAGGCTCTTAACTTTAGTCATTGCCTTAGTCGGTGTTCTATTACTGTGAAGAGACACCGTGACCATGGCAACACTTATAACGGAAAGCATTTAATTGAAGCTGGTTTACTGTTCAGAGGTTTAGTCCATTATCATCATGGTGGGAATCATGATAGCATGCAGGCAGACATCTTGCTGGAGAAGGAGCTGAGAGGTTGGTTTTTTTGTTATTGTTATTATTATTATTACATCCTGACTGCAGTTTTACCTCCCCCTAGTCTCCTGACCTCCCCTTTCCCACTGATCCACTCCCTCCCCTTCCCCTCAGTAAAGAGTAGGCCTCTAAGGGACATCAATCAGATATGGCATAACAAGCTACGATAAGACCAGGCACACGTTCTCACATCAAGGCTGGAAGTTTTACATCTGGATTCACAGGCAACAGAAGAGAGTGTCAGTGGGCCTGGCTTGGATTTTGAACCTTTAAAGGCCACCCCCAGTGGCACACTTCCTTAACAAGGACACACCTAATCCTTTCAAATAATGCCACTCCCTAATCATTTCAATACATGATCCTATGAAGGCCATTCTTATTAAAAGTCCCACAGTCCTCATCAAAGAATTCTGAACTGAAATCACAAGATACCATGAAACAAAAGTAAAAACAGTGGGTAAAATTTTAAAAAACATTGTTGACGGATAAACAGAAAGCAGATTCATTGTGCCTTACTGGTTATCAGTCTGAGTTTACCGAGACAAAACGCCTAGCACACAGCATGTTACCTGAAGCAGATTCATTATTTAGGCAACAGGGGCAGCAAAAATCTAGGATTTATTTCAGGGTGGTCCCTAAAGGCTCAGGAGTGCTGCCGGGAGCTGAAGCTGTCACTTTTTCCATGTGCCTTTCTCTTGGAGTGCTTCCTGCTCTGGGCATTATACTCCAGGGACATAGGAATCACTGAGTTGAAATGTTTCTGGCCTCTTGTTTAGGATGGGCAGAGGCTTAACTACGACCTGATCTGGTTTAGCTATTCCTTCCTATCAATATGTTGTATTTCAGGGACAATCTAGATATTCTTGATATATATAAAGAAAGGAAAGAATATTAAGTTTGCTAAGACCGTCAACAAATATATGCCTTGCAATTTGTTGAGTCATGTCATTATTTGCTATAGATCCAAGAGAAATGAATGTATAATCTTAATTCATAACATCAGAGAGTTGTAAACAACTTTCCATTCACAAGACAATACAGAAGCTGTGATATGATTGGGATAATGGATGTGCCAGCTTTCCATTACTACGGCAAAATGAAAGGTACCCTAAGAAGAGGAAAGGCTGCTTTTGGCTCAGTTTCAGAGAGCTCAGTCCAAGATCACTTGGTGCTGTTGCTTTTGAGCCAGAAGATCAGTTGGGTGGCAGTGGCACACACCTTTAATCCCAGTGCGTGTGAGGGAGAAGCATGCATATCTCTTGAGTTTGAGACCAGCCTTGTCTACGGAGAGAACAGACTCCAAGCTACAAGAGAAATCCTGTCTCAAAAAAATAAAATTAAGGGGCTGGAGAGATGGCTCAGTGGTTAAGAGCATTGCCTGCTCTTCCAAAGGTCCTGAGTTCAATTCCCGGTAACCACATGGTGGCTCACAACCATCTGTAATGAGGTCTGGTGCCCTCCTCCGGCCTGCAGGCATACACACAGACAGAATATTGTATATATAATAAATAAATAAAATAAATATTAAAAAAATAAAATGAAGAAAATAAAAAACAAACTGTTTATGAGTGGGAAGATCATGGACGGAGTGTGTAATGAAGGAAACTTGAAACTTCTTAGCACATGAAACAGAGAG